CGAGTAGAGTGCTTGTATAAGGTAATGTATTTCTTTGGTACACCTCTCAATGACAGACACTGCCACAGAACCTCACGATCCACTGAGTCAAATGCCGCTTTTAGGTCCGGGAACACAACAATTGTAGGACGCCCAAATGTGTGTTTGTGTTCCAGGACCTATCGTAGTGTGAAAAAATGGTCTATACAGCCACGTCCAGGTCGAAAACCAGCCTGGTTTTCTCTAGTCTGCTCTTCACGAGTTCTAGTTAGCGTCTAAAGATACCTGAGGCTAACAATTTAGAAACCATATTAGTTACACTTATTTCTCTGTGATTGTCACAAGAAGACTTTCGTCCGTTCTTATAAATTGGGACAATCAGGTATCGAGACCGGTCGGATGGGATTATGTCCAGTTCCCAGATTCTACCTAAGATCTCAGTCAACCTAGCTACTAGAACTGGACCACCATCCTTAAATATCTCAGGAGTCAGTCTATCAGGACCTGCAGCTCGTCCTCGCTTCAGATTTACTAACGCCTTCTCAACTTCATAAAGACTAGGGGGACTTAGGTCGATTCGCTATTCAGGATGACTGGAGATCGTGAGTAACCGAAGAGTGGCTCGAGGACAGTTGAAATGATTCCTAATGTGTTCTGCCCATCGATCCAGTCTCCTGGATTGAGAATGGATAATAAGACCATCCTTTTCCGAGATAGTCTCACTTACACTATGATTCCTAATGCCAGTTTCCTTGATAAGTCGGAAAAGTTGTCTACTGTTGCCTATCGCCGCTGCCTTTTCCATTGCTTTTGCTTTCGCCACCCACCACTGTTCGCGATCGTTACGTAGGCTTTTTATCAGCCTACGTCTAAGATGACTCCGCTCCTCATCGCACTCAGAGCCACGCGGGGTGGGATTTCGAGCATCCATCAGTTCGGTAGATGCCAATGAGATCCATGGCTTCATCCTAGCCTTATGGTTTACCTTGCTGGCAGATATCACTATTGTTTCCACAACCTTTTTGATATCATACCAACCTGCTTCCGGATACGAATCGCTTACATCGTTGCTTAACTCTCTTTCTAGTCGCTCTTGAAATGTATCTCTAGCTTTATTATCATTAAGTAAAACCCTAAGAGGCTTCCTTACGGTGTCTTTCCTACCTCCAGTAAGCCTCAAACATATACGAGCTCGCACTAGGGTAGGATCTGAATCTAAACATGTTCCCCAGAACGAGCGACAGTCCTCTATCGAACACCTCCATCGGTGGCTGATGGCAATGTGATCCAGTTGGGTCCAACGTTGAGAGGACTTCGGGGGTGGCCAGGTCAAGAGATGTTTTTCCTTATGCCTAAAGTTAGTGTTTGCTAGAAATAGTTGGTTATCTGAGCATAATTGCAACAGACGGTCGCCATTGTCTGTTCTCTGAGCCGCGACACCATAACATCTACCTAGGTATCTTTCCTGCTCACTTAGTCTACCTACTTGAGCATTAAAGTCACCAGCCATTATAACTACATCAGAGAGCTTAAAATTTTGGAGGAGGTCCGAAAGCTTTCTGTAAAACTCATCTTTCACCTCGTCTGAAATGCAGTCAGTGGGGGCATAGGCAGATACGACGAAGAATCAACGGCGAGTGTCCCTATCCTTCCGAGTACTTACTGTCCCGTTTAGTCGGACAGCGCACGGGCGACTATCTACTGCGATCCAGTCAAGGAGAGATTGTTTAGCTCTACGACTCAATGCTATGCCTACACCAGCGAGACCCAGAGACGCAGCATCAGGGCTAAAGATACACGAAGCGAAAATCGAGGTGCTTCTTTATTCTGACAATGTGAAGTCGGATTAATGATTTTACAAGGATCCTGTATGCGCGTTTCCGCGACACAGCATACATCGATGGCACGAGATTCTAAAGTGGTAGCTAATGAAGCTTGCTGTCCTATTTGACACAATGTCCGTGCATTAAAAGCCACAATATAGAGTTTAGAACGAGGTTTAAAGAGACCAGGAATGACGTTTCGCGAACTCGCTTCGTCTGCAATAGCGGTGCAGTGAGAAAAAAGACTGTGAGTAGAGTTCATTGTGATGAGAAGAGAGGTGTGTGTTGGTGTAGGAAGGATTTGATTTCGACCAATTCCGTCTCGTGTGCTGTTACGGGTATGAGAGCGGTTGTCAATATCCAGGTGCCCACAACGTGGAACGTTGATTATTGAGGGAGCTAAAAAAGAAGGCAGAATAGTGCTGGTCTTGAAGATCTAGGAGCCTGAACACAGAGCCCGAAGTACAACTACTTGAGGCCAGACACGCACGGCATTTTTATGGGAGGTTTGTAGTGTTAGCCCCGCTCTTTTTTTAAAATGCCATACCGCCGGCGACGAGAATCTGTGAGGTAAGGTGAGGTGTGACATTTTTTAGGTCGACATTTTCTAACCCCTTTTTTCTTTGTGAGAAGGCAGCATCGCTGCAGATGCTGGTTGTTTGCGAGAAACACCTTATTGCTGTCAGCCCACTCTACAATCAGCAGTACGACTTCGCCCTCAGACCTTGAGTTGCTGCTTTTAATCTTACCGTTCTCCAATCGACCTGCATGGCATGGTAGAACCTACAGGAACATATGTTCCATCAGGTATAGCTCGGTTGGGTCATGTTGATAGGCATGCCCGACCACCACGTCAAGGTAGCAGCTACGGTCGGGCACTAAAACATAAGCGCAAGGCAGATATTCATGTGAGCTAGGATATCTCATGCTTTTAATTTCTTGGCGGCACATGAACATTTCAAATATGGGAGGTTGTTGACCTGAATCTTTACTCACGTTTTCGTTTTATACCCTGGCTTAGCAGACCCTGCTAATAGAAATAACACCAACAGGATGATGAGGCGGGGCAACAGCAAAAGGTCGCTAGCACTAAAAACTCCTCCCATATCTGCATCTACCGAAATGCACTACGTCTGTGCGCAGATGTAGGATTCAGGCGAGATGAATCTGACGACGGTGTATACGTTCACTTGTTTTTTCAAAATACTCATGTTAGACAATTTATGATAGCAAACATTGGATTTTCATATTTCCATACGACAAAGGTATTATTAGAGAATATTCTTACTTATTACTAAACATGAAGTCAAAGTTGTTTTAATAATCCTTTGGACTGGATGTTGACATTTCGCGCCGATCAATCTTGGAAACGGGTGATATCCGGCGTATAGAGTGGCCATAGTTTGTTGCGTGTCGTGTTGGTATACTCTAGTTAGACAGCTACACTATTGTTCGGAAATATGGCATGTGCTACGCTTAAAAGAAGCCACAACATTGACATCATGGAAGCCACTTGTTCCAAAAGAAGACGGTACCAAACTTTAACTCGAAATTGCAACACGGAAGCGGCAGCATCGGAGTCTCCGTTCATACCAAAGGAGTTATCAACCCAAAGTACGTTCGTTAAACTTCAGCACACAGTTTGTATGTTAAGTATTTGTCAGTCACATTCCGGACGATATTCGCTTATCGTTAGACTTATTTTGTGCTTATTGATCATTCATTCGGTGGCTACAGCTGATCCAGATTTATATTTGTGTGTGCTCTTTTTAATAAGCTTCTTAGCACCTGTTTTCCTTTCAAACAAGTCTGTGGAAGATGCTCATTTCACGTCTTCGGGCAATAGGTACCGATTGTTAATTACCTGGTAAGAAAACCTGTTCCATGGGTAATATATTCGTCGCTGGCTTCTCTACTCTTCTGCTGTGTTCTCTAAGATGTAGTCTGGTCAAAATCAAAGGGGAATAACTGGTTTAAAATCATTCAGTATTGTATACTATAGAATCAAATCACTTCTTAATATAAGTTAAAATAGAGTAAGAAAACCGCTGTGTAAAATTAGTCAGTTACAACGTAGAACATTGTTCGTACGTTCGTACATTAGTTCAGGTTGCCGTACCACATTACTACAGAGATGCAATTGTCAGTTCGAACCCGACAGTGGTAGAAATGTAGAAGTAGTAGTAGTTATCAGAGAGATAAGTGTTCAAATATATTATTCGAGAAGTGCAATCCAGGGGAATAAAGTAAGAAAGAGAACGATTAAGGTGATGAATTCTGAAGATTAGAATTTCAGAGGACACATAGAGTGGATCCACCTGCGCCATCGTAAACGGCTTTGATGTCTTCGGAACATTGCTCGTGTATTCTGGGACACACACGGCCTTTTTATGGGAGGTTTGTAGTGTTAGCCCCGCTCTTTTTTTAAAATGCCATACCGCCGGCGACGAGAATCTGTGAGGTAAGGTGAGGTGTGACATTTTTTAGGTCGACATTTTCTAACCCCTTTTTTCTTTGTGAGAAGGCAGCATCGCTGCAGATGCTGGTTGTTTGCGAGAAACACCTTATTGCTGTCAGGCCACTCTACAATCAGCCGTACGACTTCGCCCTCAGACCTTGAGTTGCTGCTTTTAATCTTACCGTTCTCCAATCGACCTGCATGGCATGGTAGAACCTACAGGAACATATGTTCCATCAGGTATAGCTCGGTTGGGTCATGTTGATAGGCATGCCCGACCACCACGTCAAGGTAGCAGCTACGGTCGGGCACTAAAACATAAGCGCAAGGCAGATATTCATGTGAGCTAGGATATCTCATGCTTTTAATTTCTTGGCGGCACATGAACATTTCAAATATGGGAAGTTGTTGACCTGAATCTTTACTCACGTTTTCGTTTTATACCCTGGCTTAGCAGACCCTGCTAATAGAAATAACACCAACAGGATGATGAGGCGGGGCAACAGCAAAAGGTCGCTAGCACTAAAAACTCCTCCCATATCTGCATCTACCGAAATGCACTACGTCTGTGCGCAGATGTAGGATTCAGGCGAGATGAATCTGACGACGGTGTATACGTTCACTTGTTTTTTCAAAATACTCATGTTAGACAATTTATGATAGCAAACATTGGATTTTCATATTTCCATACGACAAAGGTATTATTAGAGAATATTCTTACTTATTACTAAACATGAAGTCAAAGTTGTTTTAATAATCCTTTGGACTGGATGTTGACATTTCGCGCCGATCAATCTTGGAAACGGGTGATATCCGGCGTATAGAGTGGCCATAGTTTGTTGCGTGTCGTGTTGGTATACTCTAGTTAGACAGCTACACTATTGTTCGGAAATATGGCATGTGCTACGCTTAAAAGAAGCCACAACATTGACATCATGGAAGCCACTTGTTCCAAAAGAAGACGGTACCAAACTTTAACTCGAAATTGCAACACGGAAGCGGCAGCATCGGAGTCTCCGTTCATACCAAAGGAGTTATCAACCCAAAGTACGTTCGTTAAACTTCAGCACACAGTTTGTATGTTAAGTATTTGTCAGTCACATTCCGGACGATATTCGCTTATCGTTAGACTTATTTTGTGCTTATTGATCATTCATTCGGTGGCTACAGCTGATCCAGATTTATATTTGTGTGTGCTCTTTTTAATAAGCTTCTTAGCACCTGTTTTCCTTTCAAACAAGTCTGTGGAAGATGCTCATTTCACGTCTTCGGGCAATAGGTACCGATTGTTAATTACCTGGTAAGAAAACCTGTTCCATGGGTAATATATTCGTCGCTGGCTTCTCTACTCTTCTGCTGTGTTCTCTAAGATGTAGTCTGGTCAAAATCAAAGGGGAATAACTGGTTTAAAATCATTCAGTATTGTATACTATAGAATCAAATCACTTCTTAATATAAGTTAAAATAGAGTAAGAAAACCGCTGTGTAAAATTAGTCAGTTACAACGTAGAACATTGTTCGTACGTTCGTACATTAGTTCAGGTTGCCGTACCACATTACTACAGAGATGCAATTGTCAGTTCGAACCCGACAGTGGTAGAAATGTAGAAGTAGTAGTAGTTATCAGAGAGATAAGTGTTCAAATATATTATTCGAGAAGTGCAATCCAGGGGAATAAAGTAAGAAAGAGAACGATTAAGGTGATGAATTCTGAAGATTAGAATTTCAGAGGACACATAGAGTGGATCCACCTGCGCCATCGTAAACGGCTTTGATGTCTTCGGAACATTGCTCGTGTATTCTGGGACACACACGGCCTTTTTATGGGAGGTTTGTAGTGTTAGCCCCGCTCTTTTTTTAAAATGCCATACCGCCGGCGACGAGAATCTGTGAGGTAAGGTGAGGTGTGACATTTTTTAGGTCGACATTTTCTAACCCCTTTTTTCTTTGTGAGAAGGCAGCATCGCTGCAGATGCTGGTTGTTTGCGAGAAACACCTTATTGCTGTCAGGCCACTCTACAATCAGCCGTACGACTTCGCCCTCAGACCTTGAGTTGCTGCTTTTAATCTTACCGTTCTCCAATCGACCTGCATGGCATGGTAGAACCTACAGGAACATATGTTCCATCAGGTATAGCTCGGTTGGGTCATGTTGATAGGCATGCCCGACCACCACGTCAAGGTAGCAGCTACGGTCGGGCACTAAAACATAAGCGCAAGGCAGATATTCATGTGAGCTAGGATATCTCATGCTTTTAATTTCTTGGCGGCACATGAACATTTCAAATATGGGAAGTTGTTGACCTGAATCTTTACTCACGTTTTCGTTTTATACCCTGGCTTAGCAGACCCTGCTAATAGAAATAACACCAACAGGATGATGAGGCGGGGCAACAGCAAAAGGTCGCTAGCACTAAAAACTCCTCCCATATCTGCATCTACCGAAATGCACTACGTCTGTGCGCAGATGTAGGATTCAGGCGAGATGAATCTGACGACGGTGTATACGTTCACTTGTTTTTTCAAAATACTCATGTTAGACAATTTATGATAGCAAACATTGGATTTTCATATTTCCATACGACAAAGGTATTATTAGAGAATATTCTTACTTATTACTAAACATGAAGTCAAAGTTGTTTTAATAATCCTTTGGACTGGATGTTGACATTTCGCGCCGATCAATCTTGGAAACGGGTGATATCCGGCGTATAGAGTGGCCATAGTTTGTTGCGTGTCGTGTTGGTATACTCTAGTTAGACAGCTACACTATTGTTCGGAAATATGGCATGTGCTACGCTTAAAAGAAGCCACAACATTGACATCATGGAAGCCACTTGTTCCAAAAGAAGACGGTACCAAACTTTAACTCGAAATTGCAACACGGAAGCGGCAGCATCGGAGTCTCCGTTCATACCAAAGGAGTTATCAACCCAAAGTACGTTCGTTAAACTTCAGCACACAGTTTGTATGTTAAGTATTTGTCAGTCACATTCCGGACGATATTCGCTTATCGTTAGACTTATTTTGTGCTTATTGATCATTCATTCGGTGGCTACAGCTGATCCAGATTTATATTTGTGTGTGCTCTTTTTAATAAGCTTCTTAGCACCTGTTTTCCTTTCAAACAAGTCTGTGGAAGATGCTCATTTCACGTCTTCGGGCAATAGGTACCGATTGTTAATTACCTGGTAAGAAAACCTGTTCCATGGGTAATATATTCGTCGCTGGCTTCTCTACTCTTCTGCTGTGTTCTCTAAGATGTAGTCTGGTCAAAATCAAAGGGGAATAACTGGTTTAAAATCATTCAGTATTGTATACTATAGAATCAAATCACTTCTTAATATAAGTTAAAATAGAGTAAGAAAACCGCTGTGTAAAATTAGTCAGTTACAACGTAGAACATTGTTCGTACGTTCGTACATTAGTTCAGGTTGCCGTACCACATTACTACAGAGATGCAATTGTCAGTTCGAACCCGACAGTGGTAGAAATGTAGAAGTAGTAGTAGTTATCAGAGAGATAAGTGTTCAAATATATTATTCGAGAAGTGCAATCCAGGGGAATAAAGTAAGAAAGAGAACGATTAAGGTGATGAATTCTGAAGATTAGAATTTCAGAGGACACATAGAGTGGATCCACCTGCGCCATCGTAAACGGCTTTGATGTCTTCGGAACATTGCTCGTGTATTCTGGGACACACACGGCCTTTTTATGGGAGGTTTGTAGTGTTAGCCCCGCTCTTTTTTTAAAATGCCATACCGCCGGCGACGAGAATCTGTGAGGTAAGGTGAGGTGTGACATTTTTTAGGTCGACATTTTCTAACCCCTTTTTTCTTTGTGAGAAGGCAGCATCGCTGCAGATGCTGGTTGTTTGCGAGAAACACCTTATTGCTGTCAGGCCACTCTACAATCAGCCGTACGACTTCGCCCTCAGACCTTGAGTTGCTGCTTTTAATCTTACCGTTCTCCAATCGACCTGCATGGCATGGTAGAACCTACAGGAACATATGTTCCATCAGGTATAGCTCGGTTGGGTCATGTTGATAGGCATGCCCGACCACCACGTCAAGGTAGCAGCTACGGTCGGGCACTAAAACATAAGCGCAAGGCAGATATTCATGTGAGCTAGGATATCTCATGCTTTTAATTTCTTGGCGGCACATGAACATTTCAAATATGGGAAGTTGTTGACCTGAATCTTTACTCACGTTTTCGTTTTATACCCTGGCTTAGCAGACCCTGCTAATAGAAATAACACCAACAGGATGATGAGGCGGGGCAACAGCAAAAGGTCGCTAGCACTAAAAACTCCTCCCATATCTGCATCTACCGAAATGCACTACGTCTGTGCGCAGATGTAGGATTCAGGCGAGATGAATCTGACGACGGTGTATACGTTCACTTGTTTTTTCAAAATACTCATGTTAGACAATTTATGATAGCAAACATTGGATTTTCATATTTCCATACGACAAAGGTATTATTAGAGAATATTCTTACTTATTACTAAACATGAAGTCAAAGTTGTTTTAATAATCCTTTGGACTGGATGTTGACATTTCGCGCCGATCAATCTTGGAAACGGGTGATATCCGGCGTATAGAGTGGCCATAGTTTGTTGCGTGTCGTGTTGGTATACTCTAGTTAGACAGCTACACTATTGTTCGGAAATATGGCATGTGCTACGCTTAAAAGAAGCCACAACATTGACATCATGGAAGCCACTTGTTCCAAAAGAAGACGGTACCAAACTTTAACTCGAAATTGCAACACGGAAGCGGCAGCATCGGAGTCTCCGTTCATACCAAAGGAGTTATCAACCCAAAGTACGTTCGTTAAACTTCAGCACACAGTTTGTATGTTAAGTATTTGTCAGTCACATTCCGGACGATATTCGCTTATCGTTAGACTTATTTTGTGCTTATTGATCATTCATTCGGTGGCTACAGCTGATCCAGATTTATATTTGTGTGTGCTCTTTTTTAATAAGCTTCTTAGCACCTGTTTTCCTTTCAAACAAGTCTGTGGTAGATGCTCATTTCACGTCTTCGGGCAATAGGTACCGATTGTTAATTACCTGGTAAGAAAACCTGTTCCATGGGTAATATATTCGTCGCTGGCTTCTCTACTCTTCTGCTGTGTTCTCTAAGATGTAGTCTGGTCAAAATCAAAGGGGAATAACTGGTTTAAAATCATTCAGTATTGTATACTATAGAATCAAATCACTTCTTAATATAAGTTAAAATAGAGTAAGAAAACCGCTGTGTAAAATTAGTCAGTTACAACGTAGAACATTGTTCGTACGTTCGTACATTAGTTCAGGTTGCCGTACCACATTACTACAGAGATGCAATTGTCAGTTCGAACCCGACAGTGGTAGAAATGTAGAAGTAGTAGTAGTTATCAGAGAGATAAGTGTTCAAATATATTATTCGAGAAGTGCAATCCAGGGGAATAAAGTAAGAAAGAGAACGATTAAGGTGATGAATTCTGAAGATTAGAATTTCAGAGGACACATAGAGTGGATCCACCTGCGCCATCGTAAACGGCTTTGATGTCTTCGGAACATTGCTCGTGTATTCTGGGACACACACGGCCTTTTTATGGGAGGTTTGTAGTGTTAGCCCCGCTCTTTTTTTAAAATGCCATACCGCCGGCGACGAGAATCTGTGAGGTAAGGTGAGGTGTGACATTTTTTAGGTCGACATTTTCTAACCCCTTTTTTCTTTGTGAGAAGGCAGCATCGCTGCAGATGCTGGTTGTTTGCGAGAAACACCTTATTGCTGTCAGGCCACTCTACAATCAGCCGTACGACTTCGCCCTCAGACCTTGAGTTGCTGCTTTTAATCTTACCGTTCTCCAATCGACCTGCATGGCATGGTAGAACCTACAGGAACATATGTTCCATCAGGTATAGCTCGGTTGGGTCATGTTGATAGGCATGCTCGACCACCACGTCAAGGTAGCAGCTGCAATCGGTCTGTGAAATCAGATTTGGGGTTTTGAAGTTCCTGATGTATTCACCTTTTGTATTTTTGCTAGGATATCCCAGTCATTTTTTAGATATGAAGTTTTAGCCTGAACGTAGTTTTCAAGTTTAGATCTCAATAAAGTTGTGTAAACCTTCATCTATACACTGGTCTCCAATTTAGTAAATGTCCGTCTAGCAGCACACATAGTTATGAGACCCTGAGTAGCAACAGCACGGCGGTAATTTGTGAGGATGTCTGGTCTCTATCGTGAAAATGGACTCTTCCACAATGCTGTATCTCTTTGTCTCTGCATCCTCAATAAGCATGTAAACTCAAGGCGTCATTAATACGCATCGGCCATGTTTTGGGTCAGCAGACCACAAAGTTTAAGTCAGCTTAAGGTGCGCCTGCATATGCCGTTTTTCGCCAGATTTTTGCATCGGCATGAAGTGGCATTGGCAACTTAACCATACTTGGGAGTTGATTAACAGATGGTATGAAAATTTAAGAACAGATCTTTACGGCTCCTCACTAAGCAGTGGTTTCCCTGAGTAACATTTAGGATTTATTCCTACTTTCTGTCTTCGACCTAATGGAAGATCTTTGATCCACTTAAAAAGAGGTCTGACAATCCTAAGGTTTTCCAGTTTTAAGGATAGTCTTTTTCGGCACTATCAAGTTCTTTGCTAAAGCCCACATAGACAACATCCACTTATTTTCCGTCATCTAGTGACTCTGTCCATATCATTGTCATGCATAATAATAATTTCCTAAAGTTATATTCACGATTTGGCAAGTTGTTTGTTTTCACAAAGGTCATTATCGTCTTTTTGTTTAGTCTTACTAGTGTTTTAGCCATGATACTAGTGAGGCTGACTGGTCTATAATTCGATGTGAATGATCTTAATACTGTCCTGTTAGTTGGATTGACGATTGCATTCTTCCACTCTGTTGGCAACTCATCCTAATCTAGTGGCACATAAAAAACCGTGGTCATTAAGAAAGCAATGTGTTGTACGAATTTTCGCAAGATCTTTAGATGTAGTCCGTTGGGTCCTGTTGATTTCTTCGTGTCGTAAGTGTTTTGAGCGTTTACTACCTCATCCATAGCGATAGAAAAGGCAGCGGCAATAGGCAACAGTAGACAACTTTTCCGACTCATCAAGGAAACCGGTATTAGGAATCCGAATGTCAGTGAGACTATTTCGAAAAGGATGGTTGGATCGGTGGCAGAACGCTTTAGGGATCAGTTCAACTTGCCTTCAGCAACACTTCGGTTACACATGATCTCCAGTCATCCTGAATGGCAAGTCGATATGTCCTCCAAAGTCAAAAAAGCTATAGGAAATCTGAAGCTAAAGGGAGCAGCGGATCCTGATAGGCTTGCCCCCGAGATTTTAAAGGATAGTGGCCCGAGATCTTGGATAGAATCTGGGAACTAGCCATAACCCCATCCGACTGATCTCAATCCCCGACTGCCTGAATTTATAAGAAGGTACAAAAGTCCTCTTGTGACAATCACAGAGGAATTAGTCTAACTAATGTAGTATCGAAAATATTGGCTTCAATAATACTCCGACTCTTAACGAATGCTCGAGCCACACGGATTCTGCGTACACACTGATTTTGGGTCAGCTTGCAACGTTTCATCGCATTCGCTGTGCCAAGGTTGCTGTCATCGTTCCAAAATTTTGTCTAAGTAAACGAAAATCGCGGTTTATCCAGGTATAATCGTGGCTATTGTTGAGAACTGTCCAAGGTATAAATGGTTGAGTAACTGGGCTGTATAATTGCCACAAATGAGTCCATGTTTCGAAATCACCCCCTAAGTTATCGGTCAAGACTGCCTTCCATTTGTCAGAATGGGCCGCCGCATCAACTTGAAATATCACATCGGCAATGAAGTTGGACAAGATGACCACTAGATCGCTCCTTTCGTAAGGTGAGAGGAACTTGATGTCATTGACATCAACGTGCATAAAGATAGTCCAATTCAGATTACTTTTGTAAGTCAAATGTTATGGGATCTCTGGAATACAGCCAACACAACTTTAGTTTCTAACTGTTCGTAATAAAATGAATTATTTGGTGATTCTACTTCTTTGTTTCCTCAGTATATAGAGAGTACATTAAGGCTTTTTACATCCTGCTGTGATAGTGTGTTAGAACACAAACTGTGACTAGCTAGCAAATACTTGTATATGTTGACCTTAGGGCTGAATTATCTTCATTATGTTTGATGTTCTATTCTTTCTAGTCCAGTTAAAACGACGAATCAAGGAAGAAATTAAACGTTTACAGCGACGCCGTTTAATACCCCGATTTCTCGGAGGTCCCACTCCAGCGGTCACTACAACATTTGCCGGACATGGAAAGGATGAGAATGTGGGTAAGTTGTTTCTCTTGCTCGTGAACTCAATTAAATACATACATGTATAGTTATTTGACCTGATTCATTTTTTAGTGGTCTCCCTAGATTTTTCTCACTTACAAAGTCCCAAGTTATATAAAGTTAAAAAAGCCTTCAGCTTCTACAATCTAATTACTGACACAGATCTTTCGGTACACTGTATCTCCACACTCCACCTGTAGACCCTCCGGGGCTGTTGCCGGTCCCAAGCCCGGATAAAGGAGGGTTGAGCAAAAAAACTAACTCGCTAAAATCAAGAAAAAATAATTCGAACCATTTAAACTCTGCTCAAGGAGTTAGGTCTTCAATTAGAGGAGGTACAACGTCTCACGATGATAGCCGAGTTCCTTCGAAAGTCACGAGGCTGATGCTTCTGACAACCGCAGCCCTTTCACGGTGTAGGCAGCTGGGAAGTAGCATCCACCCTCATACCCATAAAAGTACACAAGACCAATTTGGTCAGAATCAAATCCACACTGAAATCAAAGTTAATAATTACGTTTACCTAGATGCCTGTATAACTATCCATGTTCCAGTTTGTACAGATTTAGAACCCGATCCACTAACTTTCAATCTTTGGGTTTCCGTTTATAGCCTCTAAATTAGCTGGTGGCTTATTTGATACTTATTGAGAAGAATCCAAATATGGTATTTATCAAAATTATAATACGAGATTTATCCTATAGATCCAGGACACTATTCCTTAAGAATCCTAAAGCACTCATTTAGGTATCTTATGACTCCTTTAGCAGCAGAAAACATCCTCATCTAAACGATTGCTAACCATTTTCTTTAGACAGTAAATGTGTGTAACTTAAAATATTAAGTAGCACAGACTATAGTCCGAAGATTTGTGTCACGTTTGTAAAGCAGTTATTTCTGTAAACGGGGTCATAATTCACTTCATTATATCAAAAAACTGATATGCAGAGATGATCACGTACGGCAATAAAAATGTATGAATGCAAAACTGTTCTCAATGGTTCCGCTTTGCTGCATTGTATAATATCTAATTTATGACTTGTTGATATTTACTAACTCGTTAGCTTCTCTGGAACAGCGGTTGAATTCACATAAATAACTCGCCCGAGGTCTACTCAAGTCAGTACTTTCTTAATAACTCGGAAATATTTATGGATATTATACATAAATAATATAAATGTGGTTCTACAATAAATCGTAATTAGTCCAATTTAAGCTCACATTCAGTGTGATAAGACAGTAACAACAGTCTTTCATAAAACATTTCAAAATAAAAATAACTGTTTCAAAAGGGCTGTCCATGCAAAATATGTTCCAAACAATAAGATACTAGGAAAAAGAGACGAACCCTGGCTTCTAGGAGGCAATATAGCAATAAACGAGAATTTCAGAGATCTTTCCAGGATTTTTTATGGAAAGATTCTGGGTGTGTCGATTGTCACCCGATTTAACTAAATAATCCTTATCACCACCAAAAGAAAATAGGGCTTGTGCCTGATATGACTACTTTTCTATCTGATACTCATGAACAAAGTTGTTTTTCATTTCATCCATTTTCTTGTAGCAGTTGCTTCATGCAGTGGCAGTTTTCGATCCATGGCTTTGCGGTCACCTACTTCAGATAGCCAAGACTCGGACAGCGATCAATCTCCTCTGCGTACTAGTGAACCGATATTCCAAACACTTGAGAATATCTCAGTTGGCTCCTCAAAAATATCTTCAAAACCTAAAAGTTCTATCGATTCACTGCCGATTTTCACCCTGCCTCAAGTCACAGCTCTTTGTGAACGCTTGATCAAAGAACGAGAAGCCGAGTTACGAGAGGAATACGACAGTATATTATCTTGTAAATTAGCAGGTTCGCGATTTAATGATTGGTGTACACTAGTTTTAAATATAAAACCTGTTTTCCAAATTTTATGCTTGGGTGGATCTGTCAATCTCAGAAAAGTGACAGCTAGTTGTAATATTTTTCTTACAAAAGAACTGTGTGTGTAAGAATTCAAATATCACCTTACAATAAATTGACTGCAGCACCATTCTCAGCTTAACCGTCTGTTAGCAAGTAGAGTTTCATAATGTATAGTAAGTAGATAAACAAAAATGAATGAGCGTAATGAAAAAATGTAGTTGAGTGATTGGAGCTCAATTAAACCGGATCATTGGTGTCAAAGATAAGACGACTAGCCAGGAGAATAAGCTTTTGTCAAATGAAACAAACTAATAACAGAAAAGTCAACAAGATTAAATGTCATGGGTGGTTTGAGAAAATCTCTATCGTTGACCATTCACTTCTTGACAATCGGGTCTAATCCTTTCGCATTATGTACATAATACAATGTTTACGGTCATGAAATTGAATGTTGTTTTTGGGATTTAACATAAACATAGACTTTGTATTCGGATTACTTCTAATTGATTCGACCAAAATCAACCTAGGCCCTGTCACAAATTTAAATTGGCTAAAATTGCCTCATACGATCAACTCATGCTAAAATAATGGTGTAATATTTGTTCAGCTCAATCTTTTCTTACACGCATATGATATTTTCGTCGTTTATATCACCGTTTTGACCATGTTACACTAGTTGGATTAACAATCTTACTTTTTCCTCTACGGGACGTTTGGTTCTCTTTATATCTGCTCCTGGGTGTTGTAAGTACCGTAAACGAAATACGTATTTTTGTGGGAAAACGCTCAAGCTAAATATGTTTTCAAGAAATGGAGTTTTATAGTTAACTTGCAGAGTGAACAAAGTGCTAATTAGATTTTTGAAAGTATCTACTAAATGAATTCTTATTTACATTTCAGAGCAGTATGAAGCATTTCTAAAATTCAATCACGATCAACTCTACAGTCGATTTCAGAACTCCCCAATGAGTTGTAAGTTTTACCAAGTATTCGTCCAAAATTATTGAATCCTTTTTATTTGGCTGTAAACTGGTTATTGATTGTGTTTTGCCGTATTTTCCTTTCTGTATCAAACGATGTCTTCGTGTGCTGTCCTGATCTCTATCAATGCCTAGGTTAAGTTTATCACTCGGAAAAAATTGTTCACTAACTTAGACTTTTGTTATGCCTGGATATACTCAGAAAATAATTCGAGCGAAAAATGATCGCTCACAGATTTTGTCCATTCAGTTTGTGTATATATGAGCTAAAAACTTTATTTCAGCAAACTCAACCGGTTTCCTCCAAGAAGGAGCACGGATAGATTAATTTCATTCTTAGTGACATCTAAGTATTTATTAGCATGATAATATCACTCATATTGTCTCAGTTTCGTTTAATATTCATATTACAAACGCTGCTAAGACTTAATCGTAATTTCTATGCAGTCAATTATCTTTTGTAGACAAGCCTAATGTCATTATGGGATTGTGTAGATTGCTGAGTTTTATTGAAATCATGAATCGATCACTGTGCACACCAAGGACAATAAATGAAGTGCGCAAGACTGTGGATTAGTCGGAGTTAGGCATTAACATTGTTGGGTGCCGGTTCACTGGTCTACATTTCAAGCGTTTGCGTGTGAGACCGAAGGTCCTGGGTTCAATTCCTATGTGCGGGAGTTGTGAATGTGCACTGCTGATGAGTTCCTTACTAGGACGCGACGGCGTCCATTGCTTCCAGGTTTCTAATGGTGGTTTAACAATGATCGATTCATGAATTCAACGGAACCTAATTGTGCGTAGGCGTTCATAGCCTCATTAAGAGTAGTTTTGAAATTCAGTCACTGAACTTGCCAGTTATGAAATCCTACTGCAACTTCTGTTGGATTTGAGAATTTGAAGCATGAGTCAACTATTAGATATAGTTAGTTAAGAAGTTGTTGGAACTTATCTCTTGACAAAGTTAGCCGATAGTATCGGTATTCCTATTCTCACATACGAGTAATACTCAGTTTTGTTGTAGGTTCTTCATTAACAGGAACCACCTCAAAACTGGGTGAAACCTAATTTGATTAGGCTTTCATTCAAATAATACTTTATTTCTTTTTTGTGATCTCTCTGCATTGCAAATATCCTTTTCAAGACTAACGATTTTTTGTGTTGCAAATAAGGTTTAATCGTTATCATAATTAGACACCCAATTCACAGATGAAGTAAAATGTGTGAATAGATGTAACATCAGTTACTTTTCCTAACACTTATTTTACTCCATTCTTATTTGTAGATGTATCTTGAAAGGTGTTGTGCAAGCCGTACAAAAGAATCTTCCATCCTCGAAATTATCTATTGCCTTCCATCTGGTATCACTATATTACTGTTTGGGCTGCTTGAGCTGTTTTAAAAATGAATTTTAATCGTGTTCGTGTTTCCCACGTGCAACCTCAACTGCCTTTTCCCGTTCTCTCAGCGTATACCAATCACCTTATTTCTTGTGTTTCAAAAATTTATCGCGTTAGTAGCCGTATAACTGATGCGCGCCATACGTTGCATGTATTAAGGATCGTGAGACTAATGCTCAACTAGTTAAACAAAAACATTTAATGCTCATTCTTTCTGTTCCTCAAAGGTTCAATATATTGTACTTTTATTTTCTGTATCTCTTTCCATATATTCTCTGTGATGAACGGTTTCAAAGGCTTGTCTATATCCTTATAAACCTCATGCCTTTTAAATTGATTAAGCCTGATAAATAAATGTGATCGTTTTAAATTGTTTATTTTCGCGAATGCAATATAGGTGGGTTCGGTCTCCCTTTGAGTTTACAAAATAATACAGTAGTTTACCATTTGCTTCTAAATCTTACTAGTGCTATGACCGCCAGCATTACAAAAGAGTTGATTTTCGTTTTCTGCTATGGTTTATGTTGCACTTGCAACTGTAACAGAACTAAGTCGTTAGTACGCATTTTGGCAAAAATCTAATAGTAATAATCAACTAAATAATTCCAAAATCAGACGCATATAGTTGTCCTGTCAATAAAATATATACTAAGGATTATGTGCTAACTAATATAGTATCTAAAATTTTGGCCTCAATAATACCTCGACGCTTAATGAAAGCTCGTGAAGAGCAGACTAGCGAAAACCAGGCTGGTTTCAGAACTGGACGTGGTTGTATAGACCACATTTTTACACTACGACAGGTCCTGGAACACAGACACACATTTAGGCGTCCTATAATAGTTGTTTTCCTGCACCTAAAAGCGGCATTCTACTCAGTGGATCGTGAGGTTCTGTGGCAGTGTCTGTCATTGAAAGGTGTACCAAAGAAGTACATTAGCCTCATACAAGCTCTCTACTCGAACACCACTGGTCGAGTGAGAGCTTATGGCGAACAGTCACCGGAATTCCTCACTTCAAGTGGTGTCCGTCAGGGATGTCCACTTTCTCCATTCTTGTTTAATTTTATCATAGACATAACATTGTCCTCGTCTGAATTTTCGGGAGTAGACCTTTTACCAGGTGGTTCGCTTATTGACTTAGAATATACCGATGACATTGTCCTACTTGATGAAGATGCTGACGAAATGCAGAGTCTCCTGACTACCCTATGCAACAATGCAAGCATGTTCGGGATGCGGTTTTCCCCCTCGAAATGCAAAATGTTGCTTCAAGATTGGGTTGCATCGGCACCTGAACTAGTGATGGGGAGTGAAGTAGTCGAACGTGTAGACCGCTTCACTTATCTTGGGAGTCTCATCAGTGCTGGTGACTGACGAAATCTCAGCTCGGATACAGAAGGCTCGATTGGCTTTTGCCAAGCTGCGTCACTTATGGCGTAGGCGAGATATCCGTTTGCTGACCAAAGGACGAGTGTGCTGCGCAGTGGTCCGCTCCGTCTTACTTTATGGCTGTGAAACATGGCCAGTGAGAGTAGATGTTCGTCGGTTACTGGTTTTCGATCATAGGTGTCTTCGAAGCATTGCTCGTATATCGTGGGACACCCGAGTAAGCAATGCTGTCGTTAGGAAACGAGTACTAGGCAAGGATGGCAGATCAATAGACGCAGTAGTGACACTTCATCAGTTGAGGTGGTTGGGACATGGTTACGTATGCGAAACCACCGACTGTCTTGACGAGCTTTGTTTTGCAGTGTAGGAGTAGGTTGGAAGAAAGCTAGGGGCGGCCAAAACATGTCAGAAATCCATGAAGTCATTGACGAGTGGACTTAGTCATGTCAGTAATTGTCGACTACCTGGTTGGGGTCCGCGAGATGATAATAATCGATGGTTAGAGACCTTGAATGACATGGCTCAAAATTGTTCTCAATGGCGCCGGTGCATTTATTCTTTGTGTTCTCTCAAATCCTAATCTTCTGGATTCTTCAACTTTGTAAACTTTTCCCACTGAATCATACTTCTTGAAAAATATCTTCTAATCCTAACCTCTCCGATTACTTCTACTACTGGATTAGAATTGACAATTACATCTCTGTGCTGATGTGGTATGGCGACATGAACTGATGTACTTACGTACGAAGTTCTACGTTGCATCTGACTGACTGTGCTTATTAGCATGCACAATCGTGTAATACTCGGTTGTTTGGGACAACTGTCCTCCGCAAACGGTGAAAACTATTGGTTGATGGAAACGAGCTCAGTGGTTGAGAGTTTAGGTATCTGTGTTGAAATCTTAAGATTTAGAATCTGATCCCTGGTTGTGGGGTTGTGAAAGCAGACTCGGATGACAACTATCTAGTGTGTCCTGATTTCCAATGGTAATCCAACTAAGATTAGTTTCTGAGTTAGTATGATATGCTTTTAAGTTCGGCCATAAAAAGACATTAACGCGCAGAAAAATCTTGTAGTTCATTTACAAAATCAATGTGGTCGCTGTGCTAATTCGTTTTCTTTGTCAATAATACGCAGATACACATTAAGCTTAACAAGATTAATATTAACTCGTCATCTTCGCGGTTTTTCATCAACTGCTTACAAACCACATAGAGTGTAACTAGTTGTTAAAGAATACGAATTAATTTACGTTGATAGCCAAAGGAATTATAGGCACAAAACCGTAATAAGTACATTCATTTGAGAACACGAGTGGTCTTTTTGATGGCACAGTTCATAGGTAGCAATAATATATGGTTCTGCGAACAAGATCTTACGCGGTCATAATGAAGTGATTTTTCAGCTAATGGTGTCCTAATTAGGTGTTAGAAAAAAAAACAGTCTCGTATGGTGTACGCAGCTAATTCAAAATTTTTCGAGAAACTAACCTTCAAGTGATCGTGTGCAAACGGAAAACACCACTTTCTAAACTCCAACTTTTGAAATCATCCTAGAAAACACTGTTGTAAACGCATTAAAATTCAAGCCCTTGTTATTGCCTACATGTTTTACTCTAACATATAGGTAGGTGAACTGGTATATGGCTACTAAGAGCGAATAGTCTGTCTACATTGCTCAATCTCGAATACGCTCATCACATCAAGTTGAAGATTTCGGTTTTATAGGCATGGAACAATTAATAGGCTATTGCTTGTTAACTATTCAGTAAATGTCGAAGTATTCGACTAATTGGATCTCCTATATGTTTGCCTATTTTCTCAACAATATCGAAAATGTAATAGGACAGTTTCATAAGTTGATAAATGCCATTCAAATTTCTCTGAATGTTTTGTTGGTCAGCGTTCTAAGAGTCTACTGATCGGATTTATCAAATCCCGGGAACAAACATGCGCTCCATGAAAGAAATGAGGACTTCTTTTTACCATTCTGTTATTAGCGAATACTTCTTTAGTTTGTTCAGGTCCTCAGTATCTGCAACGATATTTAACAACATGCATTTCATGTCAAACCATACACACATTGGCGGGACCAAAAGAAGAATACATGTTCGTAGGAATTTGAGAGGCGCAATGACTCTTAATAATACAACAGCTCGGCATTTCTCTGATTTAGGCGCATAAATAGCATCCCGTAATCTTTCAAAATTATTAACAAAGATACGACGCAGCGTGCGTTCTGCTTTCTCGAGGAGTAGCAGCTATCCAGAAAGAGAGACGGTTAACAACTTTATTAACGATGTTTTATTTTTCTTATGCAAACTTTGCTAAACGAGTTCTTACTTTATGTATCCTGAAAATATATTTTTCATTCAAAAAAGAATAGGGATTTCATAACATCTCGATTCGTAATTCACAAGGGAATTTGTGAAAACTAAAAGTTTAGAAAATGTGACAACCTAGTCACACTTGGAAAGCAAATAATGTGTCAGATTTAAACATTAATATACAACAAGCTGATGATCTATCTGGTACACATGGAACCAAGCTTGTCACTTCGGTGTACTTCAATAATTCGTATAAATTTGAGTTTCAAAATTGAACTCGACAATATCTGTCTGTATCTTACTCCTTGAGTGTTGTTGATAATTTCTAAATCCGCAAAAGCATTATTCGGAAGAATTTAATCTCAGAACTAACTTTGATTCCAATTAAATTCTGGTTTATATTATTCCATTCATTGTAATGATAGTAATTGATTTTAGAACGCTTAGTTATGTTTCTAAATTCACAATAGAGATCGATAAAGTTTGTGATTAATAATCACTTAATAACCGATGTAAACGGGTTAGTTTCAGTATAAAAAATAATCTTTCTGTGGGTTTTCATCAATCCCTTTTCCCTTGCTAAACTTATCTCCGCCCTTGCATTTCGCGGGGGATTATCATGTTTGTTAGGCATCTCCAGTCCATTCGGTTTGCGCATATCTAATTTACGTCAGTTAAGTCTCGCAATAGTTGTAAACACAAAAATCGAAAAACTTAATATACAATACAACATATAGACAACTTAAGCAGAGGCTTTTTAGTAGAAATACTAAATAACTTATATGGATGTTTATTCACAACGGCAAAAGATGCATACAAAAGCAAAGAAATGCATGGTTTAGGTGAAATTTTCACGTGCAGTAACTTTTACATAGGTATCCTTATACAAATTCCCAATTAGTAATATGGAATTGGAGATCATTGTCATTTACAATGTTTTGAGTATCAGGAATGGATTCTTTTGACCAACTTATTTTAACTGCAACATCGATCCACTGACCTAATAATCGATGACATTGTTCCAAAACTACTCTGTCTGGGGATATGCCAATATTCTGTAATTCTTTCAACTCAAATATTAGTCCTGTCCACCATGCATCATTATTGATACATGGTCTAATATCGTCGTCAATTAAATTATTAATCAGGTATACAACATTACGACCAGTGATTTTTAAAATTAAGTTACCAGATGGATCTTCTAAATGAAGGAAAAAGAAAGGAAGAACGGATAAGCTTCAGCATAAATTAGGAATATAGAATATGTTAACTTACCAAGAACCACATTCGCATAGTGCTCTGAAAAAAAAAAGATTTTTAAATAAGGAAATATAAGTATCTGAACACTGAAAGGTAAAATAAAACGTCTATGTAATAGTGCAAAACACTGGCTGAAAATATTCAGTGAAACGAAAGCAAGTCATCTGATCAAACATTGAAAGACAAGGTGAATTAGTTAGTATATGGGCTACAGTGACCTAGGACCGAATTTAGAAAGTGAATACCTTAAGGACAGGTAAGTCAATGTAGAGCTCTTAACACAGGTCTGCATTGCCATAAAATATGTAAGCACACCGAGATGAGATTCACAGGATAGTAGTCACAAAAGGGTTCGGAATAATGTAGTATCAATAACAATGGGAGAGACTGGATACTAGAATTCAGAATTGAGAGGAAGATAAAAAATAAATGAGCCTGCGCCATTGCAAACGGTTTTGAGCCAGTTCAGTTGAAATTTCCAACAACTGGTAGCGTGAATGAATCTCGTTGAACCAATCAGGTACTCAGGATGGCTCGGATCAACAGTTAATGACTTTATAGGCTGACTCTACGTTTTGTTTTGGCCGCCTCTGGCTTTCTTCCAAACAAATCTTATATCAGACAGCACTGTCCATCAAAGTAATCGGTGACTGTGTATATGTAACACATCCTAACCGTCTCAGCCAATGAAGGTCCAAAATTGATTTGGAAACCTTGTGTAATACTGTATGTCTAACCTTAACATTGATCAGTCGGTCGTCCCACGAAACGCTAATAATGTTCCAGAGACATTTATGATCGAAAACTTGTTGCCTGAGCAACGGGTTGTAGGGAAGGTTTATCGAAAGTAAGTTCGAATAAGACGAACAGGTGAACGTAAAATTATTAATATTTCAGAAGTTAATCAACCTTTGAAGCTACCTTTTAGTTTAAACAGAAAACTCTATGTCGTTATATTAGCATCGATGAAAAGAAATCAGCACAGTCACAATATTTAGTTTCAGATCAACTATGAAATTAAAAAAATAAGTTTGTCATGCCATCTCCACAAGCTGACACTTCCTATAACAGCATTTGAAGTAGACAGTCAAAATAGCTATAAAATAACGGAAATAATAATCCTATAGTGGTAAATTAGTATATACAGCTGAAGGCTAAAGAAGCTTTGACTATTTCGGATCAACAATCACGAAACTCTAATTTACTGTTGCTCAATTTCAAATAGTCAACGCCGTATATGGCGTAATTAATTTTTGATATAATTCAAGATAAGTTATGGTTCAAAGTATTGGGTCAAGTGTATTCAAATGACACTTCATATCTGAAGGTTGAATAGACTTTTGTTGTTGACTATTGACATTTATCTCATGCGTCAGATAAATTAAAGATAGAAAGCTCAAAACACCTAGCTTTTTGAATAATAAACGTTTGAAAAATGGAACTCACAAAACCTAAATGTTCAGTATGTGTTAGGGGAATTAAGTGGTATAGTTTAGTTCTTTGACCTCGATGGTTTGGTTGTGGAGCTTTGTTTGTTTTCGTGAATAACATCAGCACAAATTTCAGGTAAAAGTGAAGTATTCAGGTTTCTCTACACATGACTCCCAGAATGCCCTGTCGACCTCTGTCTTGATTGGCTATTGTTAACCTCTATTTTGGTTGTATCTTGACATGGATAAATATAGAACCAAGAATAAAATCAAAGGGGGATATAATCGAAATAGAGAGGTCAACAATAACCAAACAAGACAGGGGTCGACAGGGCATACTGGGAGTTATGTGTGGAGAAATTTGAATACTTCACGTTTACTTGAAGATTGTGCTAATGATGTTGTTTAGAAGAACAATCGATACTCTACGACCAAATTATCCAGGTCAGAGGAAGAAACTTCACTATAAATCATCCATCTAAAAACCACAAATTTTTTCAACCATCTCAAAGAAATTAAGTACATTTTTTTTTAGAAAAAAAAAGGTATGAACTACTGCTACTCACTCATCGTCATCAGAGATACTGGAAGCTCTAATTGAAAAGGAGCAATTACTACATGTTAATAATAAGCAATCTTTTAATGTTTCAACATTCAATGGGGCAACATCGATTACTCGAGCACATAATCGGGCATAAACAACATTGAAATCTGATGCACTGGGTGGTAGATCAGTAGTACAAACTAGCCAACTGTTAGAAGGAATAGATGGTACAAATTCTGTTTGCATAGGATATAATAAATCCCAACCATTGAGTTGCCTTCGTTTTTCATTAATCATCACTGGAATATTGCGTATTTGTGAGATAGTTAGCTATCAGAAAAGCAATAGAAAAAAAAAAACAATATCGAATCTTCACATGGAATATACAAATGAAATACAAAAGTATTAATTAAAAGCTTTTTACCTGAAACCATACAAGGACGAATGGAATGAGGAACTATTTTGTTGATTCCGTGGTATTGCTTATTCATTATCCACTGTCTCTGTAAGGTAAGGTACTCACTCATATGAAACACGGTTGAGTGCCACCGGTAATGACTCCTCATTAAGACTTTCCGGAGCTAAGTACTAGTCTATATATGATACCCAATAAGTGAAATAGCGAAAAAAATATGATAATTTATTAATAATCACATGAAGAATAAGGAGACAAACATTAAGATTATGAAGAAGTATGTACGATATTTTAAAAAGAGACTTCTGTTTTAACCCACTTTCGTCTAACCTCCGTAGATAGCCAAGGTAGAGAAAGGGATTTTTTAGTTTATTTTGTCTACTCAGTTAATAATTTACTGTATTATAAAATCATTCTGTTAAGACCCAGCTACTTTCATTATTTGGTATTGTGCCAACACTACTTCACTCGGCTAGTCCACGATTTACAAATTGGCTTAAACATGCATTTAACCATATTCCAAATCAACCCAAATGAGTGAGAGTAAATCGCAATAAGAAAAAACAGTAAGTCGATATACCATCTATGAATATATCGGGATATAATTAAAATATAATCAAAATCAGAAAACAATAGAACTTACAGGATATTGTAGCTCAAACGGTAAAAGTTCACATTTTGGTTTCAATAATGGAGGTCTTAAATTGATCCCATTTTTTAAATTGTCCAGTAGACCATATCTATTTGCATCGTCAAACATATTTTCATTGTCTTCTTCAGTTAATAATGTATCATTCAAATAATTTGTTAGTAAACATTTATTACCTAAATATTTTATTCCACGTCCATATTTTTGACCATTACCATGTAATCTTAATTGTAAACTGCAAGGATGATCCAGTTTCTGTTGGGAAATAACATTTGAAACATTATAATAGTTTTGAGAAAAGTTTTTAACAATAATTTCACAGAGCATTTTAGACAAGATGAAACAAAGTTATGATGTCAGTGTGTGTTACAGTATTATTTTTTGCAATGATCGCACTGAAAATTTATCGTTTATTTCTCGTTGTAGTTGAGTGTGCTATGTCTCTTAATTACTCCTTTTTCCGTTCTAACAAGCTTTTTTTGCATGACTTTCATAAAAAATATTGAGGGAAATTTAAAGCTACATTTGGAATAATGGAGATGTTTAGCTTCGATATATGTGTTTCTGGTTATGTGTCGATAGAGTTGAGAGAGCACAGTGCGAATAAATCACTCTTGGGCTATATTAACAAGGGTTTTTATTGCTTGGTAACCTGAAACTAAGGAAAGTGATAAGTTGGTTGTACATCATCATTGTCGTCTTTATTTTAAAATCGGATACTAAAATATTGTAAGTTAAACCTAGTTTATAAACACAAATTATTGTTTACAAATTATTGTAGCACCTAATTAATAATAACAGAGTAACATAAATACCTGAAATATATGCCAATTAATGAAGCTCACTCAGTAAAAGTAAATAAATTGTATCATTTTGTATTTTATTTTACGTCGACCTTTTCTAACCCGTTCCTTCCTTGTGAGAAGGTAGCATCATGGTAGATGCTGGTTGTCCGAGGGAAACACCTTGTTGCTGTCACACCTCTTTACAGTCAGCAGTACGACTTCACCCTCAGACCTTGAGTTGCTGCTTTTAGTCTCAACGTTCTTCAATCAACCTGCACAGAATGATAGAACCTACAGGAACATATGTTTCATCCAATATAGCTCGGTTTGAGAAGACTGAGGCAGGCGCGGAAGATTGTATTATGCAAATTTACACTCTTAGCCAATTAAAAACGAAAACATTACATTGAACACTCTATTTGCACACCATCTTTGAGTCCTGACTTCCGACGCTCCAGCCTTCTTCCATTCCTGCTGTTGCTTCCTTTACTTCCTGTTGGTACTCTATTTATTTCTTGCTTTTGCTCCATTTGCTTTCCGTTTTCCTCTTGTGACCGTGAGACTTCTTTCACGTCCCTTCTTATACTACTTATATCGTTCGTATAAGTAGCACACACCACAAGTTGTGTCATCACGATATGCAAGCACGAACACCAGGTCAAGGTAGCAGCTACGGATGCAAAAAATGGTGGGTAGCGGAAGCAACAGCGACGGAAAAGGCAGTGGCGATAAGCAAAAGCGGACAACTCTTCCGCTTAATCAAGGAAACCGGCATTAGAAATCCATCTGCTATCGAAACTATCTCAGAGATGGATGAACTTATTATTCATTCTCAATCCAGGAGACCGGATCGATGGACAGAGCACTTTAGGGATCAGATCAACTGGCCTTCAGCCACACTTCAGTTACCCACAATCTTTAGTCAACCTGAATTGCTAATCGATGTAAGTCCTCCGAATCATTATGAAGTTGAGAAAGCCATAGGAAATCTAAAGCGACGGGGAGCAGCGGGTCCTGATGGATTAACCCCTAAGACTTTTAAGGATGGTGGTCCAATTTTAGCAATTAGATTGACTGAGATCTTAGGCAGAATCGGGGGACTGGACGTAATCCCATCTCAATAGTCTCAATCACTGATTTTCCCAGTCTGTAAAGATTGGATATTGACATATCGCCAGGTTCTAGAACTAAGACACACATTTAGACGCCCCACTATAGTAGTGTTTCTCGACCTTAAAGCACCATTTGACTCTGTCAGTCGTGAGGTTCTGTGGCAACACCTGTCATTAAAAGGTGCATCAAAGTAGTACATTAATCTTATACAGGCTCTCTACTCGAACACCACTGGTCGAGTGAGACCTTATAGCGAACTGTAATCACAATTGATTACTTCAAGTTGTTTTGGGCTGTCCACTCTCTCAATTCTTGTTTAACTTTGCCATTGACACGCTTTTAGATACGACACTTTCATCATCTGAATTCTCAGGAGTTGAACCTTTACCAGGAAATTCACTTGTTGACTTGGTATAAGCCGATGACACAGTTTCACTTGGTGAAGACGCTGATAAACTTCAGTCTTCTGTCTACCCTAACAAACAAAGTAAGCATTTCTGGGATGCGATTCCCCACCTCAAAATGTAAAATGTTGCTACAGGAATGGTTTGCGTCGGAACCTGAACTAGTGACAGGTAGTTGGGCGTGTCGACTGCCTTACTTATCTCGGGAGTCTCACCAGTGTTGATGGCCTCGTGTATGACGAAATCTCGGCACGAATACAGAAGGGTCGATTGACCTTCGTCAACTTGCGTTATTTATGGCGTAGGCGATATATCCTTTTGCTAACCAAAGGACGAGTGTACTGTGCAGCAGTTCGCTCCGTTCTCCTATAAGGATGCTAAACATGGCCACTCAGAGTAGGAAATATTCTTAGGTTACTAGTATTCGATCGTAGATGTCTTAGGAGGATTATTCGTGTATCGTGGAGTAACCGAGTAAGCAATGCTGCCACTAGGAAACGAGTACTAGGTAGGGATGGTAAATCAATAGATGAAGTAGTGAATGCTTTTATTTGTTACATTTCATCAATATTATTTTATAATTTTTATTTCTTGAACTTATCCCTTATTTTCAAACAACAATCTTTATGTATAGTCTTTTTGATAATCCACATATAATATTAGTGTTTTGACTTTTTCGAATATCCTGTGAATTTTATCTCACTGTTTTTTGAGGTGGTATAGTAAGTACTGGAGCTGAAACTCTTTAGAGCCAAGTCTTAAGTTGCTTTTACGTTGTCACTGACTGATGGAACTGGCCACTTTAACACTGGATTGAATTTTGTCATATCCAGGTCCTAAGTTTCTGAGAATAACTGGTTTTGGAACCTTTTCCAGTGAACAATAGGGTAGATATACCGTTAAATGAAAATGAAACTACTACTTTCAAGAGAGTTAAGGGATCGATGACGAAAGATATTTTGCATACACGTTTATCCACTAAATCATTATTGAACTTTTACAAAGGAGAGATGCCAAAAGTATCCACTGCTTCACTTCATCATTATCAACAAAATTTGTTCCCAATTTCGACATCTACATAAAACTTTGTATCACAACTCTGCCTCGCATAAACTATGTGCATTTCCCTGTTTTTCTCTGATGGATGCTTAGATGAAAGTTTGAAATGGTGGTTCAACTATACCCATACCATTGAATTTGGCATTTAACATATTGACAACTTCAATCTACAGTATGAATTCCATGCAAATAAAATCGATAATTTTATAATGTACCTCGATAAACAACTACTTACTCGACTACAGCAAACATGTACATTATGAATGCGTATCAAATCACCAGGTTTAAGGCTAGGCATTGGTTCACTAATAGCATATTCATCATAGATGGAAACTGGAACAGACCAATCATTAAAAGTTTCTGGTAAATTTGACTTGAACGATTTATCTTTGTCAATATATGCTTCAGAATTTTTCACAATATTTTCATTCCATTGTTGTAAATTATGCCCTGTCAATGCAGCAAGATGTGGATCATGTTGAGAATAAGGAAGTAATTGTAGTAGTTGATCTTGAGGAAGACCAATAAAAACGGCATTTTGTTCATTGTTGGATTGTGGCCCATCCCAGATATATAGAACAATACGATTATCAATTTCCACAGAATTATAAATACTGATAATCTGAAAGCAGAAAAAAAACATTTAGCTAAACGATTTTTTTTTGATAAGTCAATTAGTCTGTTCGTCGTCATATATAAGTAATACTACTTAAAACGAATCCACTGTGGATTACAGATGTTCCATGGTAGTCTAACAAACTTTAATTTTGTATGACATGGACGAATGCAAACAAATTATGAGACACTGTGTTGAAGCATTCATTTGTAAGGCTAGGCTTGTCTATGACCTATATCTAGGTAACAGGGTAGTAGTTAGAACTTGCAATCTAATAGTTGGAGAAAGTAATGCTCAAAACCAATAAGCCATAATTGTAATGAAGATAGAGAGAGATAATGTGATTGTAAGGTTACGAGACATGATGAAAGTAGATAGACTTTTGTTACACCTAAATATAATAGCTTGGCTGAGCATTTTCATTTGATCAAAAAATCTATGGATGAACGAACATGAAGGAGATAATTTTATCAGTTTACTAGAACACTGGGAACACTAAATTTTCCTGGTGAATGAATGTCACTATGTATTTTCAATCTGGATAATAGGTTGCTTGAAAAAATCGGACGATCACATCGATTGAAGAAGAGGACTAAGAATAGCATAATATAATTGCTATGATTCCTACAAGAATTTTAATCAATAAGAGAGAACAAAGTGAAGGAATTTATCTGGTACATGAAAAGAGTCAAGCATTTGTTAACAGGCTTTCGGTAAGCAGTAAAACATGCTTGTTTTTACCAGCAAGTTGAGCTGTTGGGTAACATAGATCTCATAAACATTAATAATAATTTGAATCAAACATTTCTTTTATGATGACTAGCCATACAAATTATTCATCAAATCAATTTAAAAACCATAAAAAAAAAGTACCTACCTGTCCTTCAATTGTGCAATATTCTTCTCCATTTAAAAGACACAGCCTTCTTATTCCAGATGCGCTAGTTGGGTTTACTTCATTACCATTTTGTTCTAATGAATTTAATACATTTTCCCTTTCAACTGGGCAGTTAGGAGAGATAAACCATTGTCTTAGGTACTCTATCACTTTCAACTCTTCATCGCCAAACTAATATACCAAAAGAATATTTTTTAAAGTTTTAGAAATATATTTTGATGTACTGACTAATTAATTTATTTAGAAAATACTGTCAACCGTACGGTGCTGAACATTGACAGAATATTTGTACTAAGACTAAAATCTTATTCATTGTTTGTTAACCTACATCACTGAAGGCGTCGTAAGAAACTATCAATTCAAAAAATTATAGGATTCTCAGGTTTTACCGTTATTATTTCAGCTTCCTGATATTGACTAGAAAATTTTTCATTTAGGTCATGCTGAATTATATATCTTCAGCGAAAACTGTAGAGAAAAATTAGTGAACACATGATAACCTCAAGCGTCGATTGATTATTATTATCAAAAGAAACATTAAAAAAGGATATTGGCAGAAAAAATCAGCTTTGTCATCACCAACATATATATATATATATATATATATATATATATATATATAGTTATTCACTAGTAACTAAACTACGTGCTCAGACCAAACGTATGACTATATTTAACCTCTAAATCACTTAGGGTCACAACGAGTAATATCATCAATACATTCAACCACAATTTCAAGGTGATCAACAAGGAACGGAAACCTATTTCAGGGATTTCAATTTCAGCCAGTAAAGTGTATCCAATTTCGTTTATAGATTTAGGCGGATTACGGCACTTGCACAAAGATGAGGATGTTCCGTAAAATGTGTGCGTTGGAACTACCGAAAGTCGTCAGATATCCATATTTACATGCCTTGGTTTTGAAAAGATAGATATGTATTCTGTAAATACAATCTCGTCCCGACTGTAGCTACTACCTTGATGTGGTGGTCGAGCTTGAGTATCGTGACAGCCCAACCGAGCCATATTGGCTGGAACATACGTTCTTTTTGGTCCTACCATACCAGGCAGGTCGATTGCAGTACTATAAGACAGCAGCAACTCAAGATCTGAAGGCGAACTCGAACTGCTTACTGTAGAGAGGCGTGACAGCAGTAAGGTGTTTCCCTCGGACAACCAGCATCTGCAGAGATGCTGCCTTCTCACAAGGAAGGAAAGGGTTAGAAAAGGTCGACCATAAAAATGTCACACCTCACCTTACCTCACGGATTTCCGTTTCCGGTGGTAAGGCCTTCTAAACAAGGACGGAGCTAACACTAAAAACTTCCACTAAAATGGCCGTGCATGACCGGCCTCAAGCAGTTGTCCTTTGGACTCTGCAGTCACGCTCCTAGGTCGTTAAGATCAACACTAATCTACCTTCCTTTTTAGGTTCCTCTAGAAACACCCTTCCACGGAGTGAGCAGCCGGGAAGTGAAATCCGCCCTCATACCCGTAACAGCACGTGAGACCAAATCGGTCAAGATCAAATCCTTCCGCCTAACATCTCTTTTATCTTCACGACTAACTCTACTCACATTCCTTTATCATCGCGCATCGCTAATTCAAACGATTCGAGTTTACGAAACATTATTCCTGAAACCCAGCAACCGCACTCTCAACTACATGTTGAAGCTTTTAATGTCCAAACCTTGTGCTAAGTAGCGCCACAGGCTTCCTTAGATAGGACTCTGGAATCCCGTGCCATTTATGTACGCTGCGTCTCCGAATAGCACATACGGGATCGAGGCAGAGTCAATCATTTGACCTTACCAAGTCAAAATAAAAAACCATCTCGATTCACGCTTCGTGTATTTGGAAGCCCCACTTCTGCTTCCTGTTGGCTCGCTGGTGTAGGTATAGGGCTGAGACCTAGTGCAGAACTAGCTCTCTTAGACTGGATCCCAGTTGACAGTCGTTTATGCACCGTCTGACTAAACGGGACAGTAAGGACTCAGGAAGATAGGGACACTCGCCATTGCCTCTATGTGCTCCCACTGACTGTAGCTGAGATGAGATAAAAAATGAGCTTTACAAGAATCTTTCCAACATCCTCCAAAAAGTTAGGCGCTCTGATAAGTAGACTAAGAGAAAAGGAAAGATTCCTGGGTGGATCATATGGTGTCGCGGTTGATCGAACAGATAATGGCGACCGTTGTATAATCACAGACCATTTTCTGTAATCTTCAATTACATGCCAATTAGGATAAATTATTTACAAATAACCATTCTTCGTCTTTTCTCAAATTCTCGAATCATATATCTTCGATCACTAATCCTTTTTATTACTGAGTCTACTAGCTCTACCTATGAGATTTGAATTGACAACTCGGTCTCTGTGTACTAATGTACTCATCATCTGCTAATTCCTCATCACCTCTATCTCTCTCTCTTTCTAAAGTTATCTCGCTGAATTATACTTCGTGAATAACTTATTCGAACCCTAATCTTCTCCATTACCGCTAATACTTCCACTTTCTCTACCACAATGTGGTTTGAATTGACACTTACATCTCTGTGCTAATGTGGTATGGCGACTTGAACTGATGTAGGCACGTCAGTCAGTCAGTCAGTTGCAACGTAGAACTTCGTACGTATGTACATAAGTTCATGTTGCCATACCACATTATTAGCACAGAGACGCAAATCTCAAATCAAATCCCATAGTGATAGAGATAGTAGAGGTATTAATGTTATAATAAAGATGACTAGGGTTTAAGATATTATTCAAAAAATATAATTCGGTGAGATAAGGTTAGAAAGACAAATGTAGAGATGCTGGCTAATCCAGAAGATTAGGATTTGAGAGAGCTCAAAGAGTGGATGCACCTGCGTTATTGCAAACGATTTTGAGCCATGTCATTCAAGGTCTCTAACCATCGATTATTATCATCTCGCGGACCCCAACCAGGTAGTCTACATCTACCAACATGACTCAGTCCACTTGTCAGTGACTTCATGGATTTCTGCCATGTTTTGGTCTGGCCGCCCCTAGCGATGTAGGCACGTACGAAGTTCTACGTTGTAACTACTGATTGAAATACAATCTTGTACCTTTATTCACACTTCATTAATTTTCTACTAAATTTCATTGAAATCATGAAAAATTGACAATGATCAACCTAAATTTCAATAAAAAAACCAGTAACAATCATTTTCATTGACGATCTCTTTAAGTCGCAGTTAAGATTTATTATTGTCAGTCTTTAGAATAAATCCCTACAACTCATTGAATTATAAGTACTTATCCTTTAGAAAAAATAGTTAACTATAAACCTGTTACCGTTTAGATAGAAACTTTCCAGAAGAGACTACCAAAGTGTGTACTGATAAATCTGTGCTAAGATGATAAGAGAATTTCTAAATAAATAAGATATTACTGTCTACACTACAAATCTTCTTCGTTGCAAGAGAAATATGTATATCCACATATCTTAGGAAGGTGCTTGTTAATGTATGACATGTAACCAGCAAACTACACTATGGACTGCTCAAGAATGTCAATAACATGCCGAATTCCAACGGCTCAATATATAAAATATATTATTCACATTTTATGTTCTTTAACTAAGAGATTTCAGTCAATAACATCATTAATAAACAGTTATTTTAAACAAACTAATAATGTTCATTTACAAGTAAAAAATCAGCTCACACTGCATCGAGTATTTGATTTAAAAGGGACCAACGGATCCAAATGAACACCCGAAAATACAGCTGCACTGAAACCTGTTGCACCATAACCACAGCCTTGATTTCGACCATTATATAATTTTATTACTAGTCTATGCATAATAATGATATCTCCAGGATTTTGAATCTACAATATAAGAGAGTACATATTCAAGAGAACAAGTGAATAATTTTAGTTGTTGATATGATCAAATTGACTGATACAAAAAGGGAATAAATCAGAGAAGTTTTCTTTTCGGCGAATTCATTGTAAAAGCTATACAATCACACAAATATTTACCTTCTTCACATGGTGATAATTACAATAATAGTCATAACAAAAAGGGATTCTTTCCATTCTGATGATCATGATTCCTTTATCAATCTTCATCATGAATATTCAGTCTACCAACAACAACAACATTATTCTTAGTTGTCTTAATCAAAATAACGTTTTATGACTTTATTTATTCTACCTCACTATTAATATATTTAGTGAAAAATTTTTATTACCACTATAATTGTAATTATCACCATGTGAAGAAGGCATATATTTGCGACTGTATAGCTTGAAAACGAACTTACTGAAAAGAGAACTCTTCACTGAACCAATCTTTGATGTTTTATGGTACGAAATGACGAACAAACTGAGATCGAAAACAACACGAATGATGAATGACGAGTTGGGTTTTATTCACCGGTACTTTATGTCTCATTGAGCTGAGGAAATCACAAGAGATAACATTTGACATGACTAAATAATTATTATTTACCAAAACATATTTTCAAATGACCTAAAATTACAATAGGAAGAGGTTGAACCATTTAAACAGCTTCGTCCAACAAAACAACATATCAAATAAGATTATTCGGACTATGTTGCAATATGATTTGAGACCTGAAGTAATGATATTCCCACCTCAGATCAACAGCCTGAAATACTGATACTTAACTAGGCTACTACTTCTTACCATCCCTCCTTGACAAAGTTATGAAACTTTTAGTCTGAGACTATTTGAAGTCTTGGATTCTTTTTTTTCTTGATGACCTGACAGAATTCTGCTATGGCTTGTCCGCCTATTATGTTATGGGTGCTATCATATTCAGAAAAACTTTAAACACTGATTTGTAGCTTATTTATATATGATTTCATCAGCGATTTGTGTGCGGAAGCGAATTTTAACCATCTACATCTCAAAGTTCTACTATTTCCCTAATTATTCATGTTACAGGTATATGAAGAGCATTACTAACACATACCTAGTGGTATATACTGAATATTTTAGGTTTTGAACCAGCATAATTATTGGGCTGCGTTTTTTACTTTTGAATTTAGATTTTCAATACCGATTCGTTTAAGTTTAAGGACATTTCCAATTTACTGATCAAGTATAATTTCTGGTAAGAATAATGATATACAGCCGGATAAGTCGAATACCAGTGTTTGCCAAAATATTATATTTTGTAGACTGACTACCATAGAATTACCGTCAGTTAAACTATTTGCGTAAGAGGTGTATTTTGATATAACTGTCTTAACTTTTATATCGGTCAAGTCTTCTGGTATGCCAAGTCTGATTATTTTTGGCACGAGAGTGCCTGGTATGGTGGGGGGGGGGTAGAGAGGGTTCTTTTTTGGTACTTCCATATGGTCACGTGTTTATAGCTACTGTCAAGGAAGTCCTGCTCTGTTTCTTCGCGGCAGGGTATTGTTTACGGAAGTAAGATGACAAGAAGCAAACACCTGGAGATTCAGCGGGGTTGGTGGATACGAAGGACCCACTTAGCGGAGCTAGAAAGCTCTAATTTCAAACCGACAGCGAACAAGGGTTCCCGGATCATGAAACACTGAATTAACTTAGATTCGGTCATTGGTTACTATGGAGGTGAATCTCTTCATGTTGCTCCACTGCCTTGTGGATTAGTTCACTAGGTCAGATGTTCGAAGAGCGGTCTCCAATGTTTTGGTTTGGCGGCCTGAGTAGTTTACCGGGTTAACGTAATTTAGTGACGAATAAAACTGGATAAAAATTGAATTTTTCACCCTTATATTCTCTCAAACCATATTTATAATTATTTAGTTTCATTTCTTATTAATATGGAGTCACCTATCTATACGTCTTTATTTGATGATCGAAATACTCAGCATTTATATGGAGCATTTTTAATTTGGTACTGGTCTGTACCAGTGTTTGAATTAAATAAAATAAATAAGATTCTGATCATTCATCGAGTCAGTTTTAAAACAGTAACCACGTGATTTTACTGACTGATAACAAGATAACTGGTTTAGTGAAGATGAATTTTTAGTTATGTCGAGCAATAAATGATTGTTTGCGATTCACCTATCGACCCATTTGCCTGGATGTATTAGCAAACCTCTTAGCGCAGCAGTTTGACAGTACATCATATGGAAGAGCCTGAATATGGGTAATCCCGTATTCAGCACCAAAGTCTAGGAAATATATAGCGAGGGGTATGCTAGTGTCAATCACTTTAGCCCCAGGTATACCACGAATATAAAATAACTGCTCCCAAATACCCTGGTACAGACGAGGGTACGGAGAGTTTGTTTCCCTCCTATCTCTCTCTCATATGACCATGTGTATATAGCCATTGCCAGAGAAGTCCAACTCACTGACTTCTCATGGCTGGGTTGTTTACTAAATTGAGAGGATGAAAAGCGAATGTCTGGCGCTTATAACCACGTTGGTGGATATAGAGAATCCACCTAGGGGAGTTTGAAAACCCTGATTCCAAACTGATAGTGCACATGGGCCCCAGGATCCTGAAGGAACTAAAAGCACATGAGCCTGTTGTTAATCACTAGCTACTATGGGACTAAATTTACTTGCGTCACCCCACTGCCTTGTAGTTTAGACTTTTTTGTCTATCTTGAGGAGTGGCACTCTAAGAATGCTATCTGCTTCGGTTTGGGAGCTTGAGCAATATATCCCAGAGTGCTCACATGTCCAATAATTTTTGTGGCGCATAAAAACCAGATTTTTCTTCGTATACATGTTTGTGTTTAAACGAGAAAATAAAAAAAGTTGATATGGTCAAAATCTTGTGACACCTGAAGAATGTTAGAACTATGTCCGCGATCAATCAGTTTTGTTCCCTCAATCACAGGATAGGATGAATTATGTCATATGATATACATATGTACAGAGAATAACCAGAAGTACTATTTGACATAGAAACGATGGACATCGCTGATAAAATGGAACAAAAACCCCGTAATAAGTGACAAGACTAAAGTGAGAATGAAGAAATCTAGAGTGAAATGATGACGGCATATGAATATCGCTGTTGCATTATCGGTAGGAAAATCCGAATAAATAAAAAGGCACAGTTGTATGACAATTATCAAGTGAATTACGTATATGCATTCAGTTGAAAACCATGAAACTACTTTCAGGTATGATGTACAGCCAAGATACGATCTGGTCACTAGTAAGCTTGAGATGAATTATAGAAATCCAACAACAGAAAAGTAAAGTAATGCTTTTATGGTATGCTTAGTAAGCATAGAATGAGGTGATAATCAGTCTTCATTCATAAACAAATGTAACGACTTGGATGCCAATCAGTCGTACATTCGATGATAGTACTTATTGACAGATGGCATTAAAACTTGTCACTTAGTTATGTTGATACTAACAATTTCTGCTGCGAAGAGGTGTATCAAATAAATTATTAGTTACGTGAAAAGTTTTTAGTAATATAAAATGAATTTTACCTGAGGTAGATTTTCTTCGGCATCATGGAAAACAATACATGACATTTTGTCACCATTTAGAGAAGGATCAGTAATGGAAAAAAACAGTGAATATGAAGAACCTTTAGTTTTTTTCGGTTTCTTGACATGTTTAACAATGGCGATGACATTAACACTACCAGATGCATCTTTCAGATTCACATATTTATATTTAGACATGCTTTAACTGTTGCTGGGCAAAAGTGAATATCTTTAGAGCGAATAAAAGTAGTCTTTTATATGAAATCTAAAGAATGTCGAGTTTCTGTATTTGGTTAATAGCTAATATGTACAATTTATCCGCAAACTGACTTGTCTGATTAGTGCTATCAAAACAAATAAAAGAACAAAACAACAAAACTAGTATTTATCTAAGCATATAATACACATATATTATCAATACATTTAAGCTTATACCATTAGATCAGTAAAATAATAAACAGAGAAACAAAGATTTTGCAGAATATAATTAACTCATTGTATTTAGCTGTTACTAAATTAACTACAAATTTAGATGGCTTATTCATATGAAACTAAAAGAGATTACTGTAGTTAAAGATGGAAAATTCCTATTTTTGTCATGGTTTACCGTTACTTATCAGCTAACAGACCTTGTTGCAGGATCAAGTGGCTCTGCTAGTTTTCATATATGTCCCGATTAACAAATAATACCCTGAGTTGATTTGAGTCCTTTATTGGAGCGATCTAATATAAATATACTCCAAATTGGCTAGGGTCAATAGTTTTCAAGTATGGTATATATTTGTTCAAGAATGGTAGGTGTAAAAGCGTCATTTATTAGGAAAAATGAGTTAGATTTTCTCATTTTCAATAAAGCAGTTAATTGGATTTTCTCGACAGCTTCATTGTCTGATCTTTTTTTATATTATCACCATCTGCCAATAAGATTGCTGTTATAAGCGATAAAAAGCACTCATGTCCTACTCCTCTACTAACTTTAAAACATTCTATCAAATTTACCATTTATTCCCCAAATACTGAGGTAATTATTTTCTAAGTTGATATTCATAAACATAAACTCAACGACAAATCCCGAAAAAATATTGTTAATCATTGAAGATAAACAGACAAACACTGTTAGTTTTCATACAGTAACTGTTTGTTTTCCAACAACAATAGTTAGCGAAACGCTAGAAGTGCTCTCATTGGAATTTAACCACATGGTGTTCAGCTCGTTTTTGACATTTTACAAACAACTGGTTATCAACAATTAAACGATAATAAGAGTCAACTTTTATACAACCCAGTTTTATTCACTGCTTGTATCATGACTAATCAGAGATGAAACTAAACATAGACGGTTCTTAATGGCCACAAGTTGTGTTAGTTATCCAAAGCAAGAGGGGTGGAGTATAATTTGGTTTTAGGTCATTGTTAAATGCTGTTTAGCCACTTAACATACATGAAGCAGTAGGGGATGAAACAAAGCACTGTTAAGGCTTATGTTATATGCTGACATTAAACGATGCAACAACATTAGTTCCTCTACGATAAACCACTACTAGTATAATGAAAAGTTGATGTTACGTCACCAAGACTGTAGGAATATTGTACTCAGGGTTATGTTCTCATGAGTAGCAGCACCGAGCATTTGAACTAATTTCAGCTATGTAAATCCCAACATACAATAATAATGAGAAAAACCAGGAGAAAAAGCAGAACAGTGTGTCCACTCGAGCTTTGTTGGTTGAGAATAGCTAGTGTTTAATATGCGCTTAGCTCGCGAGGATCGCATGGAAACATTTATACACTTTCAACAGAAGAGATTAGGCAAAAATCTCAAGCATAACCATTAGCATTATAGTACACCTACCAATTGTTCCCCGTGGATAACATAACGGACGAGGAAATCCAGACCGAAATGCGACTTAGGAGCTGTTCATTTGATTGAATAAAAAGCTTTACGGACAAACTTCAAAGATCCTTTTAATGGCTGAAAAAAAAACAAAGCTGATCCCTAGCCAATAGGAATAAAGCTGATAGTGAATCGCAGGAGTTTGCTAATTGCGCCATCCAATATCCAATATCTTTTTCACGAGCTAGTGTAAACCAATTTGATTTCTTCGCGCTCGATTCTTGTTCTTTCGGTACGGTTCCAGGTGTTCGGTAATGTCCAATGGATGGAGGTCTAGCCACTCGACTGTCTAATTCTAGTCAGTTGGCAGTTGGTTGTGAGTTTGTATGTCTCGGGATTTGAATGAAACGTTTGTTTCAGGGCAGTAGGGTTTCTGGATACTAGCAGCCGTCACATTACCAAACCGGAGATCAGTTAGTTGCAATGTGGAGAGTAATAAGGGTAATAAGGGTAAATTAAAATGATAATATGAGTAAAATTTCAGAACTGAGTAATATATAGATGAATTTAGTTTATTAATTGGTAGTGAAGATTGTGAGAGAGGACCGAAGTGTAAGCAAGGGAGAGGAATAGGCGAGATAGATTAATTAAGTGATCTGAGGAGATGGCAATGGTAACAACTAGCAGGTCTCAAGATATGCATCAGGCACAGCTTGTCCAAGAGGGAGATGATAGTCCGCATGTGAGTACGTGATTATCAAGTCTCTTCTTAAAGCAGTCCACTGAGGGGGCTGTAACTACCTCGGCTGGGAGAGCATTCCAAGTTGCGACGACTCGCAATGAGAAAAAGTGTGCACGAACCTGAGTGTTTGCTCTTTGATGTGCAATCTTTTGAGGATTGCCTCGAGGGGAGTGGTGGTGATGCATCGGTAAGATGCTCACATTGGGATGGTTGGGCGTGTTTAATATGGTGTACGCCATAATCAGGTCACCTCTGATTCTCCTGTAGCTCAGTGGGAATAATCCCAAGAGCTGGAGTCTATCGTCGTACGGTTTATTTTTCAACCCTATCACCCATTTGGTTGCTCGTCTCTGCACTCGATCCAAGAGATTAATGTCTCTTTTAAGCAGAGGGGGTGCGATGACGTTGTGAACCTCCAAGTGTGGGCGCGCGTACGTCTTAAAGAGGGTTAAAAATAATTTCGGGGTTATAGCACCAAGCTGTCTTCGCATAAAGTGAAGAGTCGCATTTGCCTTGGCTGCATCCCCTACATAGTTCGGACTCGTGTGGAGGCTTTCTGTGGTTATTAAACCAAGATCGCGCTCTGAGGAGACATTAGGGAGCGGACTTCCATTGAGAGTGTAGGTGGTTTGCGTCATATGAGGCAGGAAATGCATGACGTGGCACTTCGGTTGGTTGAGTTTTAAACCGTTTTTCACTGCCCATTTCTCAATGGATGTAAGGTCCTTTTGAAGCTCAGTCGAATCCTCTTCGCTTCTAATGGACCTCCAGATCTTCGCATCGTCTGCGTAGATCAGTGCCGGTGAGCTAACTAAGCTTAGCAGGTCGTTAATGAATATCAGGAAGAGGAGTGGGCCTAGGATGGTCCCCTGTGAAACTCCTGAAGTGGATACTCTCCAACTCGCGTGCACCCTGTTTACCTTGGTGCGAAACTTTCTATTCTCAAGGTAGTTTCTGAGCCAAGATACGAGTGGGTCAGTGAAGCCCATTTCCACAACCTTTTCGATTAGGCGTGCGTGGGGCACTGTGTCAAAGGCTTTTGCGAAGTCGAGAAATACTACGTGCACTGGTATTTTACGGTCCAAGCAGGATGTCCAACTGTCCCATGCGATGAGAAGATTAGATGCACACGACCTGCCTTTCCGAAACCCGTGTTGAGCTTCATGGAGTATTTTATTCTTATCCATGTACTCCCTCATTTGTTCGTCCACTAGCCCTTCCATAACCTTTGATAATATAGGTAGTAGTGCGACTGGTCTGTAACAGGCTGGGTCCTTTCTATCTCCTCCTTTGAAGATTGGAGAGAGAGTAGCTTGTTTCCATTCCGCTGGGAATTGGTGTGACTCCAGTGAATGCCTGAACAGGTTGCATAACGGTGAACAGAGGGCTTCAGCGCACTGTTGCAAGACTATAGGGCGGATGTTGTCACAACCTGGTGACTTACCTGGGCGTAAGGATTTTAGTTTCCTTAATACTAGGTCAGGAGTGATACGGATGTTCCCTAAGCCGTCAGCTGGCATTGGGTTGGCGTAATACTCTGAACATGTAGGCGCCTGGTTTAATTGATCAGAAAAATGGGTGTTGAAGATTTCGGCCATCTCTAGGTTGGTGAGGTCTTCTCCGTTAGGCCCTTTTAGGGGGCACAACCCTTGATTAGTAGGTTTTCTTTTGGACATGAACCTAAACAGATGTTTCGGGTTTGCCTCTATTCTGGCGGCTAGTATCGTCTGGAATTGTCTCCTGTCGCTTCGAACTTTGGTATTGCATCTGTTTCTCAATGCCAAGTAAGAACTGCGATCGGAATCCTTCAAGGAGACCTTCCACTTGTGCCAGGCTTTCCTCTTCGCCTGTAGCAAGCGTTCCGTGCCGCGCCTAACCCAGGTTCTTCTGTTCTGGCGTTTTGGGTGTGATTGAGGTACGTTGTCTACGACAGCGTTTTGGATGATATCTCTCACTGCTTGCCAGTGATCATCTACTGTCAGCCTCCGCCACTCCCGTGGCCATGGGGCATGTAGGAGCACCTCTCTCATGCGTGTGTAGTTTGCCCTACTGTAGCAGAGGTAAGGCTCGTTATCGTCCGGTGTCAGCGTTTCGTTTGTGACCATGTTAAACAGGACTGTGCCATGGTCACTACTACCTATTGGAGCGCGGATGTTAACATCCTCAACCAGGAGCTGGTCGTTCGTTAACAGATAATCTAGGTTTGAGGACTTCCCTTCCTTAGTCCACCTAGTGGCGCTGCGTACATGCTCAGTCATGCCAGAGCTTCTAATGGCTGTACCAAGTTGTCTTTGGAACCAACCAGTGGGAGTGATACTCTGATTGCTGAGATTTAAAGATGGGGTATTGAAGTCTCCGGCTAAGAGTATTTGATCAAACCCTAGGAGTGGCAGTTGCAGAATTACCTCAACCAGTTTGCTTTTCTGGGCCCTAGTACCCGAAGGAGGTCGGTAGATCCCTCCAATCAAGTATTTCGTGCCATTTGAGTGGAACCAACACCAACATGATTCTGTCACCTCAGTTAGTTGGGTGTTGTATAGCCGCTCTGCTTTTAAGTGGCTATTTACATATATAGCCACTCCACCTCCAGTTTGGTGTTCCCTATCGCTTCGGAAGAGTGTCATGCCTGGCAAGCCCACTTCTGCGTCTGCAATGTCAGGGGATAGCCATGTTTCTGTTAGGATTATGATCTTCAGATCCATCTGAGAGCGCATATTCCTGACTTCTAACAGCTTACCCCTTAGTCCTCTTACGTTGCTATAGAGGCACTTGGTGGTTTGTCTCTGAACCTGGTGCACATTTGCAGCATCAGCCTTAGTCGGGTTTTCAGACAAGTTATTTAAACCGAGTCGGCCAGTTCTGTGGGAACTGGCCTCTGCAGGTTTTTTGCCTGCGCGGTTGGTTCACTCACATCTTGAGCCAGAGGTAGTTGACCGAGTTTAACTATCAGCTGTGTGCGTTCATTTTGGCCTCCCTGTTGTTGTCTCACAGATCTAGGTCGGCTCTCGCAACATCTGATGTGGCTAGGTAGATCGTTCTTCGAACTGTACCAAGCTTGTAGTGTTTCGGTCAGGTCTTCCCGGTTCCTGAGTGTTACAGCTATCAGGCGTGGTGACTTGATAGACGTAAGGTGTGACGGGCGGGGCAACCTGGAGATGCAGACTGCCATCGGGGTGTGGAGGGATAGGCTACGCGATAGCCATCGCCACTGTTGCACATCGTGCTCGTGTGCTTCGTCCGGGTTACCGTTGGTGAGTTCGGGTATGCCGTGAACTACCATGGTGGTCTGTTCCTGGGTGTCTGGTGCAGTTCTGGCTGCTGCACGTACCGACCACGGCTTGTCATGCCTGATACGAATCAGCGAGGACAATTTGACCGATGGTCTTTGGGACGAAAGGATGATGTCTTCAGCTAGTCGTGCTGAGTCAAGAGTTACCCTCATTGGAGGGGGTTTTCCTTTCGAGACGTTCTGGCCTTTGAAAAGGCGACAGATTTTAGCTGGGACCTCGCACATTCCGAGGGTGGAGCAGAATTTATCCCATTGCTCTTTGTCGAAGGCAGCCCTACCTTCTAGCAAGCTTCCTTCCGACACTGGGACATTAAATAAGATGAGGGAGTTAGATCTGTTGTCCCTGGTCTTGGGTGGAGGCTGCTTGTGAGTTGGGGTGTTTCCCTTTCCCTTCTTCACGGTTACCCATTGTTGCCTGTTGCTGGTAGCTACTGGGGGGATAACAACAACCGGCAGTTTTGTCGGTGTGTTAGGCAGGGTTGTGGTAGCCTTGGTCACTTGTTTTACCGGTTTAGTGCCAGGCGATTTTGCTTTGGTCGTTTGGACTTGAGGGCTGGTTTTAGGTGAGACCTGTGGCTTTGTCAGTGCCTCAGAAACTCTGCACCGAGGGCAGATGTACCAGAACCATGGGCAGGGGTGACTCAGCATGAAACCGTAGTACTCTTTAGGTACTGTATTGTCGCAGTGACAATGTACCCATGTACTGCAGAAATTGCATTCGAAAGCATGGTCGCTGGTTTTGACTGGTGATGAGCAGGCAAAACAGTCGTCCTTATGCTGTTTCTGTGTCGACCGAGCCTTGGAGCGTCTTTTTCTCCTATTCTTAACTAACTTACTGGTCTTTTTAGGAATAGGGGTGGTGTCTTGCTTCCTCTGTGGTGTCTGAGTTGAGTGGTCTAAAGTGTGGACACTGAGGGGCGTACTATCGACTGACCTTTTGGGTTTTTTAGCAGCCCGTTCGCACGATATTGGAATTTTCGATGCGCTATCGACCCCGGGGTTTATGCCTCTATAAGTTTTCCTAGTTGTTACAGTGTAAAGTGTACTAGCGACCTTATTACTTGACATGATGCCAGGGAGATTAGGAGGTGAATACCGAGATTAAAATATGAGATACACAAAATTAGGATACGAGATACACAAAAAAGGGGTTTAGGAAAGAAGAAATTTAGTAGTATATAATAAAACTACAAGGAATAGAGCCTGAAAGTACTCCAAAATTGCAACTTTACCTTTGACCGTATTAGTAAGTAACTTTGCGTGTATCCAGTAACTTGTCCACAAGTCCTGTGTTTGTGAGTGAGTGGATGTATGTATGCTGCCGAAGCAACTAGAAATAGAGCAGTTGAATGAGGTAGCTAGACCTACCGCGCAATGGTTCTGACTTGGAATGGTTCCGTATTCCCGAAAATGTTTTCAGATTGTCAACCAATGAATGGAGACAACTTTTTATAGCTTCGGAGGTGATAAAGTATCCCGAAAGTGGATTGTTTTCCGTAAATGGAAGAGAGTCAGCGAGGGCACGTCAAATACCTTCGTGAAGACCTCGAATAGATCAATTAATTTCTTTGCTTTTGATTCTTTTTGTTTCCATAAGGGTTTAGGTATTTGGAAATGCATAGTGAGCTCCAATAAGCAACATCTTCTTCACGAGCAAGTATAAACCGATTGATTTCTTTTCAATCGATCCTATTTTTCACTACGGTTCCAGGTAGTTGGTAGCGTCCAGTGGATGAGGGTCAAGCCTCGTGACTGCAGTAATTCTAGTCTGTTACAAGTTGTTAGTCAGTTTATATATCCCTTGATTTGAATCAGTATTTTTGTTTCAGGAAAATAGGGTTTCTGGATACCAGCAGCTTACACTTT